ACCTTTCAATGCTTCCCATTGTGTTAATCTATGTATATGTATGTGTATATATAATACGTATATTCAAATGCATTTAACTCAATTTAAAACGACAATTTGAACGTAGCCAGCTAATAGCTTGTTGCTGCTCAGCAATTTTCCAGCTAACTTTCAAATGGTGTCAGCTATAGCCATAAAACAGCTAAACTGCTAACACAGCTGCTGATGTTAAAGTCTGCATTTACAGTTTTCAGCTTCTGCATGCGTTCGGAACAATCAAAAAATCAAAATCAATAACCCAAAACAAAATGAAATGAAATGAAATGATTTCGAATAGAGAAATCAATGAAAGCCACCAAATGGCAGGCAGGCAGGCAGGCAGGCGGACAAACGGTATCGGGCTGCTTTTTTTTTCTTTGCGCTCTGCTGCTGCTGATATATCTAGCTGTTGTTGTTGTTGTTGCTGCTGTTGCTGTTGTTGTTGTTGCAGCGAACATCTCGGCTTTAGCTTTGGCTTGGCTTGGCTTGGCTTGGATTGAATTGGTTCGGTTTGGCGTTTGGCGTTTGGCTGATTGAACGCACATAAATAACTCTTGGCTTGTCTATGATATATAGAAATGTATCTGTGTCCACACATATCTGTAGCAACAACAGTTAACTGTTGTTGTGCAGCGCTGAAATTACCGCTGCTCTTGGCCATCAGCTCAAATGATTTATGCAGCAATTACATGCACACACACACACACACACACAGGCATGCACAGACATGCCGACGGGGAGGAGAGAGGCGGGCTAGTCAAAGCTAAGCTAAGCGAGTGCCACAGGCGGTGGCTGCCACAGCAGGCACATTTATAATTTGTTCGCATTTTCAATAGGCGCAGAAAAATGCATATAATAAACAATGAGCATAAATATTTTGCACAACCGCAAATTACATAGCAAACAGCTCTTTGTATGGCAAGCGCACACAAATGAATGCTCTGCAGGTGGAGGCGGGGGCGGGGCTGGTGGAGGTAGGTTGTCTTTGAAAATCAAAACATGATATTTACAAGAGCTTAGCCTAGCCAGGACCGGGACCACAGAGACAAGTAACAATATTTCGATACGGCCGGCAAATTGAAAATAACCAACTCCAAAATTAACCAGCTCAACCAGTTGGCAGTTTTGCTATTAAACTGCAGCCGCAACTTGAACTTGCACTTGTCTCAGCCGCTGGCTGCTTGTAGCTGTGTGCGTGTGTGTGTGTGTGTGTGTGTGTGTGTGTGTGTGAGTGCGCCTGGCAACATTGAACAAAATGTATTAACAGCGACACCTCCTTCTTCAACTGAAGATCACGACGACGACTTTAAAGGCCACGGGCCACTTAAAGGCGGGCGCATTAATCAAAGCGCACGACCGATAGCTGCCTGCTATGGCAAAGGAGTTCACGAGGAGGCGTTACAAAACGAAAAGAAAAGAAATGAAAGGAAAACAACCAAAAAGAGTTTTTGGCTTTTATCGGCAACGCCACAACGGAAATGTTGATGCTGATGGCAACGCTGTGCGATTGCAGTGCATTGAACTGAACCCCCGAGTTCAGCGGCAGCGTTCAGCATGTACATGCATACATACATATGTACATACATGTATGTGGCATATGAATTATTGTTATTGTAAGCAAAGGAAAACGAAAAGCAAGAGGCGCGACAGCGCGTCGCCCATTCCAAAAATATCGCATATGCATAAAAGGAAAAGGCGCCAGATATGCTGCAAGTGTTGCATTGATAAAGACTTCACTATTGATATACAACTATATACATACATACATATGTACGCATGCTTGTGTGTGTGTGTGTGTGTGTGTGTGTGTGCGCTGCGCCAGGAAGCATCAACGTCAAATGAATCACAAGCAGTTGAAGCCAATTGCGGCGCGCTCTCTGTTGAAAGCGAAAACGGCAAGAGAGAAAAAAAAAAGGAGTCAAAAAAAAAAGCAAAAAAAAAAAAAACTGCAGCCAGACGTGACTCAGCAGCAGAACAAAGCCACAGAGCGAACGAGATGGTGAGAGAGCAAGGGTGTGTTAGAGTGAGACAGCGCGAGAGTTGCTGCAAAAACTGTCAAGCAAAAACAACAAAAGTAAAAAACAGACAAAAGAAAAGAAACGAAAAGCAAAACAAGCCAAATAAAAAAAAAATAAATAAAGAAAGACCCTAAAGACCCTAACAAAAAGGATTTATGCATTTAGTTTTGCAAATTGTTTACGAATACTAACTAATAAATATTAATGTTTCCATATTGGCTAGACATCCTGCCAGTGTTGACAATTCACGATATTTTCCAGCCAAATTCGGCTAAGCTTAGCGGTTATCCGCCAAAATCAGTTGAAATTTCGATTACAAACTATGGAAAAGCTGGACATGATCGAGACACGAACTTAACATCTTTAGCGCAATTGTTATTCACTATTTTACGCAAAACTAGCTACTGCACATGCCAAATGCACCGAAAAGGTTGTGCGTATTTCACTTATTGCTCATTGTTCAAATCAAAGGCAAATGCAATTAAGCAATGAGCCGCATTCCATATGAATCGCACACACACACACACACACACCCTCATCCTTAACGAAGCATCTGCAAGGAATGCGGGTGGAGTGGGGGGTAGGGGGGTGTGTGTGTGTGCTGCCTGCAGGGGGTGCAGCCGTTCGGTGTGAGTCGAAAGTATGCGTAAAGTGCGTTATGTTTGGATTTTGCTTTTGCTTATTTCAAGGGCAGCTGTTGTTGTGTTGCCAGCTGCACTTGATGGCCAAACTGTGAGGGAGAGGGGTTGGGGGGGAGGCGTGTATATACACAAACACATGCATGTACTCTACGTATAGAGCATATGTACGCAGCGCATAAAGTGAACCCTCCTTGGAGTGAATTATTCAAAGTCAAGTGAGAGAAACTCCAATGATTCTTTGTTTTTTTTTTTTTATAACCTAAAAATAATATTGAAAATTTAGCAATAAAGATTTAGATAGTCTTAAAATAAAATAACTGCTGCAAAAATTAAAAAGAAAAAAAAGAAAAGAAAACTGTTTACTGTACTCATGTTATTCTACAGCCGAAATTTGTTGAGAATATTTGCCCTAGCAGCCAAAATACTGGATTCAAGAAAACTTGAACTGTTCGCCAACGAATCTCAATATCTGAAAAATCGCATAATACAAATTTCTTGCATATAATATTAATATATAGTATATGTGTTATAATGAATTGAAAAAAAAAGGCACAATTAATACGAGTTCCAGCCAAATGTACTTTCTATGCTAGTTACCACTGTGGGGCGAACACTGTATATGCCCAATGCGTAGTGCTTGTGTTTCAATATATTTAGAGTTCACTGTACGGCTTGTACATTATTGTCTTGAGCAGACTGTCGTCTCGCGACAAAGGGGCTTCCAGCAATGCGTTAAGTAGGAATGAAGTGTGTGTCGGTGTGTGTGTGTGTGCGTGTGTGTGTGTGTGTGTGTGTGTATACCTGATTTCCGGCGCACAACGGAAGCATTCGATTGCCAGTCCGTTGATACGCAAACGGTTGACAATGCAACCCATAGCCAAGTCTCAGACGCTGCCGTTGCCATTGGCCACAAAAATACATATACATATATGTATATGTATATGTATGTGTGTACATAAAACGAAGAAGCATAAAACGTGACTCAGCGCGGGGTGCGACAGGTACGGGGTGGTAGCCGGCATTTATTGTCTGTTTCGATGGCTGGAATACAAATTGCTAATTGCGCTGGCTAAATGCAAATCCTGATGGAGAATTATTGATTTGCCAGCAGCGCAGTTAAGCCGGCGGCAGGGGTTGGCCCGTGCAAAATGAAGCTGAAACGAAAGCGCAGCAGCAGCAGCAGGCAGGCAGGCAGGTGGGGGGGGGTCAGTCAGTCAGTCGTCGCATAAAGCACACGCCCCAGCGCATCAGGCTGCTGCTGAGATGGGCGTTGGGTATAACAGATACACACCGGAATTTTCGTGCGTTTTTCTCTGCACGGAACAAAGGAAATATATGCGTAGCGCATCCTGCAAAATGCTACAGATAAGTACAACAAAAGTAAAAGAAAATGGCAGCATAACAAAATAAGCTAAATGCGCATCACTTAAAGCTAAGCAGAGCAATAAACAGTTAATAAAGTGCGAATGGCAACAACAACAAACAGAGCAAGAGCAGCCATCAAATTGATTGGCAGACACAGTTACGAATTTATATATGTATGTGCATACATGCATGCATACATATATGTATGTATTTGTGTGTTTGTGTGTGTGTCCATTAAAGAAGGCAAAGGGGTGCGTGCTATGTCTGTCAGCTTTTGACAGTTGGTTTATCAGTTTGATTCGAGCCAAAGAAGAGATTTAAAGGTAATCATCATTCATCTGGCAACATTGTGCGTGGCCCCAGAGAACGCACAAAACCAAACTAAGAGACAGACACAGCGAGCGAGAGAGCGAACGCACGCAAAAGAGAGGCTGCCACTGTGAATGCCAATGTCAAGGCAATTAGCCAAAAGCCGGTTGGAAAAATCAACAACGAGGCGCTGCAAAAACAATGCCAACAGAAAAGTAGCAGCAACGGCGGCAGCGCAACTAACAGCAGCACCGGCAGCAGCGGCAGCAGCAGCAGCAGAGGAGAAGAAAATCGTAAAACAAGGCAAGCGCAAAATAAAAAGCTATGAAATGGAGCTTAAGTCACAGAGCTGGCAGAGTGACTGTGACGTCGGCTGCCATAGATTTTATGACTTGCAAGAGGTGCGCGATGGCGTGCAGGCTTTTGATGGTGGGCGCAGGAGGGGAGGGATGGGGGAGGGTTGCACAAAGCGAAGATGTGTGCTTGGCACTGCGGTTACACCTGGAACTGGAGCACGTCAAGTGAGAGAGATACAAAAAAATGTGTCCATGTGTGCGTGTGTGTGTGTGTGTGTGTTGAAAAGAAGAAGCAGGCCCGATTGCATTTGGAGCCATGTTTGGGCAAGGCACGTTGAAAGGAATTCACTTACTTTCTTTGTTGCTCACTGAGCCTCGCTTGTTGTTGTCGTTGTTGTTGCTGTTGCTGTTGTTGTTGATATTGCTGTTGTTGCTATTGTTGTAACTGTTGTCACTGGGGCTGCTGCTTTAATTACCGTTTTAAATGGCAATTTTGCTTATTATCCTTTGCCCGCGCGCGTTTGCTCTCTATCTCCCTCTACTCTCGCTCTGTCTGTCTCTTTACACCGATGCGTTTTGGTCTGCTTTGGTTAGCTTTAGTTTTAGTCGCCGTCGCTTTTCGTCGTTTTCTATTTGCGCTCCTCTGCTTTTGCCGGTGTTTCTACTACGCCTTCGCCTATCACTGTGTGCGTGCGTTTGCCTGTACGTGTGCGTGTTCGTGTGTGTGTCTGTGTTTGTATCGTCTCGTTTACGTCTGTGTATGCTTGTGTGCGTGTGTGTAAGTCTGTTACACCCTTCACTTCCAATTCGAATTTTGTTAGGTAGACGAACAAAGTAACTTTGGCCTCAGTTCAAGTTCACTCACAATAAAAAATCAGAAAAAAAAATATGTATACGTAAACAAATCACAGGCAACAATTATCGAAATGTTCTTTTATTTTTTTTTCTTTTTGTTGATTGCTTTTTCTCAGGTATTATTTGTTTACGGCAGCTTGATGCTATTGCTTGCTGGCGCCTATTCACATTCGTATGCGTGCGTGTGTATGTGTATGTGTTTGGTATGGCAAAAGGATTTTTCACGATTTCAAATTGGCTAACAGACGCATGCGCGCACAATAGGACCACAAGATTCGTTTGAAGAACACAACCGCTCACGACCTGCTCTCGAATTGGAATGAAAACCCGTTGCAGAGCCATATACAATTTAAATCCAACCGCTTAATAACAGTCTGTAATTGCGCTGTTAACTGCATCAGACTGTTAACGCGATTGCGAGCAACGTTAACATAAACTGATGCCGCAAGAAACTAGCAAATGGACACAAAAATGTAAATCGAAGCAAAAGGAGAGGAGCAATTTAATTGAAATTTGTAGAAATTTAATTGAATTAACTCACATGATACTGGTTCGCATTGCGTTTATTAATACTAACCACTGTTAAACTTAACATGCTGATACTATGTTTTAAGCAACAGTTAGTTAACATAGTGTATGGTTAGCCAAAACCATGTCCAAGCCCAAGTCTTGCCAACTCGGCGAAAGTGCTGTTAGGACTGTTGTATTTTTCAAATGTAACGGTAAATGGGCAAAGGAAATGCGCATAACTTGAACTTGACGAATTGCCGCTAGATCGCAGCCGCCGCCACGCAATTTGATTTACAGCTATCCCAAAACCAACAGCAACGCAACAGCAGCTGCCCAACTGCAACCGACTGGCTGCATGCTTGGCAAACGGGCTAACTGGCAACCTGGCGCCATGCTCTGTTAATTTTTTAAATGCGCGCATGCTGCTTCTTCTGGCTGCACTCGGCATTTGCCATATTGCTTTTCATTACATTTAGCACGTTACTTTTTCGGACTGCACTTAACCGAACGTTAATGAGAGTGTGCACTAAAAAGATGCAAAAAGAAAAAATGGCCAGCCAGCTGCCGATTTCACCGTCAGTTGTGCACGTCTCGGCAAATGCAAGAGCAAGCGTACCAAATCCTTAAAGAAACAAACCATTAATATTTATAATGGCCCACACACACACACACACGCGCGCACACATCGTGTGTGCTTGACTGTAAATAGTTTACAGTTGTTAATCGTTGCATATTTCTTCTTATTTTTTTTTTGTTGCCAGCTTTTTTTGAGCATTGCATGCCTAATGATTTTCTGCAATTTTAAACAAGACAATTATGAGCCGCAAACTATGCTTGGCACGCGGGGCCGCCCAAAAAAAAAACACACACACACAAACACACGCAAAGCAATTAATGATTAGAAAGAAAGAAAGAAACGAAAAACAAAGGCCAAACAGCTGCTGCAGCAACTGTTATTGGTTCGAATCAGTATTGTAACAGAGTTGTCAATAGCTAACAAATTGTCACACCAGTTGGCAGCACTGTCGTTCACAGTGGCCAACAGCTGATGCACAGCAGGCAGTCAAGTTGACAGCTTGGTCACAGAACCGAACCAGAACAACGCGAAACAAAATCGAAACGATATAATGCTCAGTTAATTTAAATTTAAGTACTTTCGAGAGCAACATTTTTTGGAATTGTGTGCGGTGCGGGCAAACGTCGTTATCAACGTTACAACGTTACCTTTCAATACGCGACCGCATTTCACATGCTACGTTTTGGCTAGTTTCATTCAACAAAACAATTCGATTCCGGATAGCCGCCAGCACCCCGCAGCCCGCAGCCCGTAGCCCGTAGCCCGCAAGAGAGCCAAACAAAATTTCGCCCTATTGGACAACAATTTTGTTGTTGCTGTTGTTTTTTTTTTTTGTTTTTTCTTTTGTTCCTGCCTTGCGGAACGTTGAAAAGGCTGTGAAGATGGCGCGTGCATTACAATAAACGCAAAACTAATAACAAAAAGAAAATAAAACAACAAGAAAAACAACAAATTGCACAAGAAACGCTCAAATCAACTGAACTGGGGGGAGGGGTAGTTGGTCGCCTATAGCCGCAGCTAGCCAATACTCAAACCCAAAATACCCAGCATTAAACAAAGCCAAGCAGCAGCGACACACAACAACAACAACAACAACAACAGCAGCAGCAGCAGCAACAAAATAGTTCTTAACAGCCGTCGCTTGTTGTCTCGCTCACTCTCTTGCCTTTGCACGTCTGTGATTTGGCGGGGGTGTTGGGCAGCGCGTGCTCAAACAAAAACAAAAAAACCAAAAACAACAACAACAGCAACTAGAAGAAGAAGAGCCAGAACACCATAACATAACATTTCCGCATTTGAAATATCAACAACAAAAATTCAACATAAAACACGTTTAGGCCGTGGCTGCCACCGTGTGAACAACAACAGCAGCCAGACCACCACCAACAGAGGAGAGCAGCAACAATAACATAGCCAAGGACACGTACTTTAAACGTATGTGCAGCACACACACACGCTCACCAAATGGATGTCCTGGAACTGCTCCGTGCGAGCGCCAACGGCTGTTACAACACATTATTCTCCGATGCCTGGTTTCAATATGTCTCCAAACAAATCGCGACCACGGTAAGTACAAGTACAATATATGCACACACACACACGCACACAGAAAGCACACGTGCACAGTTTGGCTGCTCTTTGTCTTGACGGGGGCTCGTCGTGACTCATGTACAAAGTGCACTGTTAAGTTGCGGGCAGGATAACATGTCAACGGTTGGTGTCTGAGATAAGCGGCGATCGTGCTGTTACTATTGCTGTTGTTGGAATTGTCTTATTTTCGTCTCTCTTACCACACGCGCGCAAGCATACACAAATATATGCATGTTTGTGTTTGCGTGTGTGTGTGAGTGTGCGTTTGGCATTTCGATTTGCGCACACTTCCGTCAACATAAGACGATCGCTCGCTGTGTTTTGATTCGCTGACAAAAGCTGCCAACTTACATAAACATGCTAAGAGAAAATACATACATACATATGTACATATATACACACTGTTACGGTTATTTTGAATTAGTTATCATTTCCCATTTTTCTTCTTCTTCATCTATAAACTTTGAACGTATTTATGTACGTATATCTGTTTTAATCTTAAAAATGTAACAAATGTTCCTAGATATGTGCCCATATGTGTTTTGCATGCATGTATGTATGTATGTGTTATCGTTGGGCATGTTGATAATAGCTTAAGGCCTGACCCCGAAAGCGCATCAGCAGTGCTTAGACCATAACTGATTACGCTGATTAGACAGCCAATGGCAGTTGGCAATGGCAATTGGTTTTAGTTGGGTAAATCAAATGAATCGGCCAAATAGAACAATAACACAGCACGTGCAGCAGTAGCAGCGGCAGCGGCAGCGGCAGCGACGCACCCGCCCCCAAAACACCAAAATCAGTTGGCCATAATTCAATTAACCCCTTGGGGCCAAATCAATTGAAAGCCGTCTTGTGACTTGTTGCCAAGCGTTGATCCAAGACACGAAATAAAAAAAAAAAAACGAGTCAAGGCTGTCCGACTGGCAGTTACTCTATATCCAGCTGTGCTGCATATGTACATATACGCGTGTACATATATTCGACACACTGGAAAGTATACTCTATAAAATGCAGTTATTTTTCTTTAAATAAATGTCTGAACGAGAATTTATCGAAGCGCATATACCCTTTTCTGCCCATTTAATAACAGTTGCAGGGTATTTCACAATTCAGAAATCATCGCAGGTGCGTGCGAATACTAACATGCAAACATGCATACATACATACATACATAGATACATGCATGCACACAGACACACATGCACACGCATGCTTGGTGGATTTATTTTTGTGCCTAGTCATACCTAGAAATCGAAGTAATGTGAAAAATTGTGTTATCGTGACGCCGTTCGACGGCGCAGCAGCGCTGCCAATTAGCTGGAAATGAGACATCGGCAATATCAATCGTTGTTTGTTTTTGTTGTGCTTTATTGCGTGTGCGTTTTCAATTTGAATTTGTTGTGGCGCTACCGTCACTGTTTTGATATTATGTATGCATGTATGTATGTATGTATGTATGTATATTTGCCGCATTCGCTGAAACCTGTTACAGAAATAAACCATAAGCGAATTGCAAGAACAACAAACACAGCAACTGCAGCCGAGCGCTGCAGCGACAGCGAATGTCAAAAACAAAGCGAATGAGAATTCAAATGCGGAAGGGGGCAGCGCGCATAACAACAACAAGTGTTGGCAGCGACGCGTCAACGATTAACATTGCAATATGTATTTTGATTGAGACGCAAATTATTGAGAGCGCAAGAGAGCAAGAGAGCGAGAGCGCACGCATGAGTGTGAGTAAGACTTTTAAGTGTGCCCGCTCACATGCATAAGCATTACAGCTCTTTTTTTATCTTCTATGATGTGCATGAAAAGAGAGAGGCCAAGAGAGAGCGAGAGAGCGCGAGAGGGCAGCAGATGGGCAGATATGTATTTCTAATCAGAGTATTTGAAGTTTGTAATGCAATATGTAACGCATAAAGTAGAGCATCTCTGACGACGGCATTGTCTTGTCTTGTCTTAATTAAGAAAAAATAATGATATCTCGATATCACACTATACAGTTCTATGTGTTCGTGTAAACTGAAGAGTGCAGCAGAGCATTTAGTCGTCGGCATCGCCGAATACACTGTTCTCTTATCGTTGATTTTCCTCACCCATTGTTATCGTTATCGATATTCGCTTGCAGATGTACTGGTACGGCGCTCTGCTTGTTATCGGCGTGCTATTCATCGCCTGGTTCCTGTACTTTAAGCGCCTGGCACGGCTGCGCCTGCGCGATGAGATTGCCCGATCGCTGAGCGCGGTCACGTCATCGGGCGGCGATCATCGCGGCCTGCGTTTCCGGAAGCGGGACAAGATGCTCTTCTATGGCCGCCGGATGCTGCGCAAAATGAAGAACGTCAGCGGCCAGATGTACAGCAGCGGCAAGGGCTATAAGCGTCGTGCGGTGATGCGTTTCGCGCGCCGCATCCTGCAGCTGCAGCGCGAGAATAGGCCGCTGGAAATGAAGACAGTGGAGCCGCCGGCCGAATATCTGGAGGAGACCATCGAGGGCAGCGATCGCGTGCCGCCGGATGCACTCTATATGCTCCAGAGCATACGCATCTTTGGCCATTTCGAGAAGCCCATCTTCCTAAAGCTCTGCAAGCATACACAGCTCCTGCAGCTGATGGCCGGCGATTATCTATTCAAGATCACCGATCCCGATGACAGCGTCTATATTGTCCAATCGGGCATGATCAATGTATACATATGCAATGCCGATGGCAGCACCCTCTCCCTAAAAACGGTGCGCAAGGGTGAATCTGTGACCTCGCTGCTCAGCTTCATCGATGTGCTCTCCGGCAATTCTAGCTACTACAAGACCGTCACGGCCAAGGCCATGGAGAAGTCTGTCGTTATACGTCTGCCCATGCAGGTGAGTTGCCAACTGGCCAGTGTTGCCGGATCAGTGTGACTAACGTATTGATACCCTGTACAAATATTCTGTATTCTTAATGAAATACACTTCAATGGTAACAGGGTGCAAAGGGTAAGAGTAAGAGAGGGGAAAATTTTGAATTTATGGAAGATAGAGAGAACAGGGCTGAATTTCGATATTTATCGATTATCGGAAAACGATGGGAATAATTAGACAAAGAAGATGAATATTTGATGGAATACAGGGTATTTAGGGTAGATATTAAAACGTTCGCCAAATATAAACATACCAATTTTGTTATTGCTGCTAATCCACAGGCCTTCGAGGAGGTGTTCGAGGAGAATCCGGATGTGATGATACGTGTAATACAGGTGATCATGATACGGCTGCAGCGCGTGCTCTTCACGGCGCTGCGCAACTATTTGGGCCTCAATGCGGAGCTCGTACAGAATCATATGCGGACCAAGGGCAGCAGTGTGGTACCAAATGCGGTCGGGGGCGCGGTGCTCGCCCAGGCATCGCAGGCATCCCGTCCGGTGGTACGGGCGCCGACATCGCCGAATTCGCGTTTGTCGCGCGAGGAGCACACACTCTCCGATCCGGATCCGAATCCGAATGCGAACGCCCTGCTCTTTGCCGAGGTGCACGGCGATGCGCCATACATTGATCTCTACCATCATCAGCAGCAGCAGTCGAGCGCCGTCTCCGTTAACCAGGCGGGCACGCGACGCAGCTCGACCACGTACGGACCGAGCGGTGAATCGCCCAATGGCAATGCCAACACTGCGCCCGGCACATCCATCGATCAGCGTCTGGTGCAGTCATCTGCCGTGGACAGTCTGCGCCGTGAGCTGGGCCTCAGCGAGGATGATGCCCAGATCATTGAGCCGTTTGTTGAGGTGCGCGAACTGGAGCCAAATGTCACACTCATCACCGAGGGCAATGCGGAAGATGTTTGCGTCTGGTTTGTAATGACCGGCACATTGGCCGTCTATCAGAGCAATGCGGATGCGACGCGTGCCACCAAACAGGACAGCAAGAACGATGTGCTCATCCATTTTGTGCATCCCGGCGAAATAGTTGGCGGCCTGGCGATGCTCACCGGCGAGGCGAGCGCCTACACGATCCGTGCGCGGAGCAATAGTCGCGTGGCCTACATACGACGCGCCGCCATCTATCAGTGAGTTATTACCCATCCGAATCCCTCTATTTTCCGCCTGTTTGCGTGGTTTCATTAGTGTCATTCAAACCAGCCACGCTTTTTGCATGGAATCCACGCGGCTGGTGAAAATTCAAACTCACTTCTTTACATATTTTCCGCCAATCGGCGTGGATTCCACAAAGCCGGTGAAACATTTACACATAAATAGTTCATGGCTCTTTTTTAAAAGACATAATTGAAAGTTGTAATTTTTTTTTTGAAATCGTGCATATTCAATTTCATTTTCACCTGAAAACGTGGATTTGGCTTTGATTGGATAATTTACTTCAAACACTTACCCGCCATTTTCTTGCAGGATAATGCGTCAGCGTCCCCGCATCGTGCTCGATCTGGGCAATGGGGTGGTGCGTCGCCTGTCGCCGCTGGTGCGTCAATGCGACTATGCGCTGGACTGGATATTTCTGGAGTCGGGACGGGCTGTCTATCGTCAGGACGAGAGCAGCGACAGCACCTATATTGTGCTGAGCGGACGCATGCGTTCGGTTATCACGCATCCGGGCGGCAAAAAGGAGATTATCGGCGAATACGGCAAGGGCGATCTGGTGGGCATTGTCGAAATGATAACGGAAACCTCACGCACCACAACCGTCATGGCCGTGCGTGACTCTGAGCTGGCCAAGCTGCCGGAGGGCCTGTTCAATGCGATCAAATTGCGCTACCCGATTGTGGTCACCAGGCTGATCAGTTTTCTCAGTCATCGTTTTCTTGGCTCGATGCAGACGCGCGGCAGCAATGCGGCCGGCGGGCCCGTTGAGGCAAATCCCGTAACGCACAAATATTCAACAGTTGCCCTCGTGCCCATCACAGACGATGTGCCCCTGACGCCCTTCACTTACGAGCTCTATCATTCGCTCTGTGCCATTGGTAAGTTGCCTCATCGCAGATGATCGCAGAACGATCAAATTTTTCATAATATCGATAAATATCGATCCGGAGGCATATCTCGAAGACTAGAAGCGCTAGATACACCAAATTTGGTATATAGGCTCTCCCATATGATACACAGCCTAGGAATGTTTCACTTTTTGTATGCCTTTCACAAATTCCACTTATGGCTTATATCAGCAACTAGCTATAATCGTTTTCTTCTCTTTTTTTTCTGCAGGTCCTGTGCTGCGTCTGACATCGGAGGTGGTGCGCAAACAGCTGGGCATTAACATATTTGAGGCGGCCAACGAGTACCGCCTGACCTCGTGGCTGGCACAGCAGGAGGATCGCAACATAATCACGCTGTACCAGTGCGACAGCTCGCTGAGTCCTTGGACACAGCGCTGTATGCGACAGGCGGACGTGGTGCTGATTGTGGGCCTCGGTGAGCGATCCCATTTGGTTGGCAAGTTCGAGCGGGAGATTGACAAGCTGGCGATGCGCACACAGAAGGAGCTGGTGCTGCTCTATCCGGAGACCACAAATGCCAAGCCGGCGAACACGCTCAGCTGGCTAAATGCACGTCCCTGGGTCACCAAGCACCATCACGTGCTCTGCGTGAAGCGCATCTTTACGCGCAAGAGCCAGTATCGCATTGTGAGTACGGGAGTGTTAAAACTCTCGGCTAATAATCCCTTCCATTATCCCATTAATCGCTCTCCCAACTCTTTAATTTCGCCCAGAACGATCTCTATAGTCGCGTGCTGCTCTCCGAGCCCAACATGCATTCCGATTTCTCGCGTCTGGCCCGTTGGCTAACTGGCAATTCGATTGGCCTCGTCTTGGGCGGCGGCGGTGCCCGTGGTGCTGCCCACATTGGCATGCTGAAGGCCATCCAGGAGGCGGGCATACCCATTGATATGGTGGGTGGCGTCAGCATTGGCGCCCTCATGGGCGCACTCTGGTGCTCCGAACGTAACATAACCACCGTCACGCAGAAGGCGCGCGAATGGTCCAAAGTATGTTGAGAATGCATTTAATATTTTTACTTAGCATATATATAAGTTAACGAGGGCCCCACGTTGGGCGCCCATCAACTATTCCTGTTCGCGATGCTCCAGATTGCTTTACGGTTTAGATCTGGTTGTCGTCCTCCTTGTTCAGCGAACATTCCGTTTCTCGAGGCGTAAACCAAACAAAGGTGTTCGTTTCACAGTTAGAACCAGTGATTTTTCTTTTTTCCTTTTTAAGTTGAGTGCTTGATTTGTTTACAAGCTTAAAATTTAAAATCAATATACAGCTCAAACCTGTCTATGTTGATTTTATTTTACGCGAATCGAGCACGGGCCGATTCTTACAAAGGATCTGGATGAGCTGCCTAATCCAGTTGGATTTGGGGCACCAGGAAAATGTCACTTCTAGTCGCCTTCGACGACAAACGATGACATGCTGTGGCGCCGTATTCATAATATAATATATAACGTGAAAGGAACGCCTAACCTTAGACAATGGATCCTTTGTGAAATAATTATGGACTCCTCTGATTAATAAAATGAAATTAAACTGTTATTTTTGTTTGCAGAAAATGACAAAATGGTTCCTTCAACTGCTGGACCTCACGTATCCCATAACATCGATGTTCTCTGGCCGTGAGTTCAACAAGACGATACACGACACCTTCGGGGACGTGAGCATCGAGGATCTATGGATACCGTATTTTACGCTCACCACAGACATAACCGCCAGTTGCCATCGCATTCATACAAACGGTGAGTGTCCAATGACTGCGGCTGCGGCTGCTGTTGCCATCTCATTCACTCATGTAGCTGCTCGTCTTTAGATTCGTGCATTCTCTTTAGCATGCATTTGTTTCTCTTACGCTTTGCTATAATCATTTTTGTCAATGTTAAATGCTTTTTTGGTTTTCTTATTTTTTTATTATAACTGTTATACTCGCTTGGTGTTTGATATTTTGATGTAGCTCGTAGGAAGAACACAAACATACACACACACACACACAAACAAACACAAAGGCAAAGACACACACGCATATATGTACACACACAGGCAGTAGTATATGTATGTCTGAACACATATGTTATTAAGAGAGACATTCACGCAACTCCCACTAAAGAGTAACAGACATTTTTGCTCTTTGTGTGACGTCAGCAGCACAGTTGAGTCCATCTCAGTTGTTGTTGCTGTTGTTGTTGTTGTTGTTCTTGTTGCTGTTATCATAAATTCTTTTGCAAAGATGTGAGAGGCGACATGTTCAAACTGGATAAAACGCGTCTTTTTGGTTGTTGTTCTATTTATATTTGTTTTTAACGTAAATATACATATGCATTTGTGCTAAATGATGTTGCATTGTCTTTTGTCAAAAGTGTTGCACTTGCTGCTATTCCCCACTCTGCTGCGTGTCTGTGTCTTAGCTAGAAACTAACCTGCTGACAAAAATACTCAATGAACGATCTCTGATTGGTCAACAATATTCTCTCTCGTTCGCTCACAAAACGCTCAAATTCAAAGCTGTTTCTCTTTCTCTCTATTTCTCTCTTTCTACACACACACACACACACACACATAAACACCCACACACACACACACACACACACACAAACATGCTCGCTCACTTGCCAAATAAACTGTCGCAGGATCTCTGTGGCGTTATGTGCGCTCCTCAATGTCACTCAGCGGCTATATGCCGCCGCTATGCGATCCACAAGATGGACATCTTCTGCTGGATGGCGGCTATGTAAATAATTTGCCAGGTAAATAGCAACTAGCAACTAGCAACTAGCAAATAAAAAAAAAAAAAAAAAAAAAACACCCGATAATCTATTCTTTAAATATAAATTTTCAATTTAGAGCTATTGATGGCACAGAGAGCGCAGAGTGTTGGATAATTTCTTAGCGACTGTATAAACTGTAACTGTTAATTGGTTATTTGCAATGCATTGCATACTTGTTCGCCCAATAGACCCCCCCGCCCCCCTCCCCCGCCCACCCCACACCCATGCAGAGAGTGCGCGCACAGCATAATTTTCGCTCTGCTGGCAATGCTGCCAGCATTGATAAAAGACCCGTGTGGATCGCATTTCTAAAGCGGCCATTTTGATTTTGTTTCTCACGCACACGCACATGCACAAACATGCATACATATGTGCATACATGCATACATGCCTCGACACACGTATGTACAAAGACTTAACTAGTTACATTTAATTGCTCTCTTAAGAACATGAATTGTACATTGAAACATTTGTATATACATACATACATATGTACATATACATATACATATATATTGTTTAGCAGACACATTTAGTTGCTGTTCAATTTTTTTGAGTTGTGTATTTTTGTATTTGTATGTGATTTATTTGTTGTACTTTTAATGCTGTTAAAACATAAAATTTGACATGAATCTTCAATGTAGCCTAGCACAAGAGTAAATATGCATAAACCGTTAATTCGTTTGCGCACACACATACACACAGTTATACACACAGCAACGATGGCAATAAAATTGTGTATTCTTTTTCTCTCTCTTCTCTCTCTCTCTCTCTCTCTTTCCTTCTCTCTTTCTCTCCACATACAAACTATACACAATTATGCACATGTTAATGTGTGGTAATCTCACCTTGTCCACATCCTCACACACACACACACACACACACACATGTATACATACTGTCCATTTTGCGTGTGTGATGATGTGTGTTACCAATTGATCAGGTCATCTGTGGCGTTATTGTCGCGCCAGCATGTCCATTGCCGGCGTCTTTCCCCCCTTCTGTGACTATCGTGACGGGCACCTGCTGCTCGATGGATGCTATACGAACAATGTGCCAGGTAACCATTAACAGTAACAGTAACAGTAACAGTAACAGAATCCAACACTCTGCTTCCACTGGACAATACACTGTTGATAGCTCTGCATAGTTTAACATACTGCTAACATTTATATAACATTTATGTAAAACAAACAACAACATAGCCGATGTTATGCACAATCTGGGCGCCGCTCACATAATTGCCATTGATGTCGGCTCACAGGACGACACGGATCTGACCAACTATGGCGACGATCTGAGCGGCTGGTGGCTGCTTTATAAGAAATGGAATCCGTTCACATCGCCCGTCAAAGTGCCCGATCTGCCGGACATACAATCACGTCTCGCCTACGTGTCCTGTGTTCGCCAGCTGGAGGTGAGTATTTTCGAAACGAAATTTGATCTGAAAAAAAAGAAACGTACACATATTAACAATACGACACAACTTCGTGCCGTATTTTGTATTCGTATATTTGTTTGATATTCTATTTAATCAATAGAAAGAATTCCCCAAAAACTTGCCTGACAAATATATGTTGTCTTTGTTTCAGGAGGTAAAAAACTCAGACTATTGCGAGTATATACGGCCACCCATTGATAAGTACAAGACGCTCGCCTTTGGCAGCTTCGATGAGATACGCGACGTGGGCTATGTCTTTGGCAAGAACTACTTCGATAACATGGCCAAGGCGGGCCGTTTGGGCCGCTTCAATCAGTGGTTCAACAAGGAGCCGCCGAAGCGCGGCAACCACGCCTCCCTCAACGAGTACACGTTCATCGATCTGGCGCAGATCGTCTGCAAGCTGCCGGAGACATATGCCCTAAATACGGCCGATATATTCAGCGAGGATGAGGATTTCGATGGCTACATATCCGAGCCAACAACTCTAAATATGGTACATATTGACTATTAATGCGAGCATACCTCTTATACCCTGCATCGTTTCGTTGCTCTGTCCATTAAGGAGTCTACTTTTGTGGGCCTTATCGATAAGTCCTTTAATATTTCGCAATTCGATGAATATCGATAGGTCCTTTAATCTTTGGCTCTTCGATAAATATCATTTAATCTTTTGCAATTCGATACATATCGATAGGTCCTTTCATCTTTCATAATTCGATAAATATCGATATGTCCTTTCATCTTTCGCAATTCGATAAATATCGATGTTCAGCTTAGGCTTCTGTTCCCATCGTATATTCGATAAATATTGATTTTTGGCTTGAGCTGAAATCGATAAATATCGATGCACCTGAAAAGTTCAAAAGAATCGATTGTGAAAATGATGTTAATGAAAATTTATGCAGAATTAAGAAAATAATTTTTATGGATAATTACCAGCAGAGAGCTGTGCGCACAGGGCATGCACAGGGTATCCGGCTAGTCGGGCACAACCGACTAGAGCACCTTTGGCTTGTACTGAATCATGTTTTGTCTGTGCACAGGATCGACGCCGCATCCAAGTGCCTCGGGCGGGCAACTCGCTATCCTTCTCAGAGACTGAAATGGACTCCGATGTGGAGATCGATCTGGAGCTGGAGCGCAAGGTGGACAAGGCGACGCAATCGACGCCGCCAACGCCAAACAAGCAGCACGCACTGTCGCCGACCTCCAGCCAGACGAACCTGCTGCCATTGCCGCCCAACAGCAAGCCGAAGGAGAAGCAACCCAGCTACGATAAGCTGGACAGGGAGCACAAGCGTCGACAGAAATCCAAGCAGAAACAGCAACAGGAAAGATCATCGATGCAGCAGAGGGACAGCATGGTCACATTGCATCCGGCCACAATGGCCGAGGCGACAACGCAAACAGCGCCGCATTCCAGCGAGGAGGATGAGCTGAACAAGCCGGAGCAGCAGCCGGAACAGAAGCCGGTGCCGGAAACAGAAGAGCAGCAGCAGAAGCAGCAGGATCAGCAGCAGCAGGAGAATTTAACTAAAACTGATACCAAAAACTAGCTATAAATGGAAGGGCGTCTGTCTAAGATAAATATATATACATATATATATATATATTAGCATAGCAGGAGTCGGAGCAGCAGCCGGAACCCGAACTGGAGCTGGAGCTGGAGCGGCTGGAGCAAACGGACCATTCAACTGGCCAACAAAATCTCCATTGATTATGTAGTTAATAATGACAATGAAATCGTTATCGTTTAGTTAAATAAGTGTACATCATATTTAGGCTTAGCTTTAGCTAATCACACACACACACACACACACACACACACACACACACGCACTTGGAATCCCTATCCACACGAAAAGACACCGAATTGCAGCAGCTGCTCTCAACTCCATGTATGTACGCATGCGTGCATGTATGTGTGTCTATGTGTATGCATATATAACTATATATATACAATATATACTATATAACTATATATATATATATATATATATATATTTTTACCGAACCCAAATGATATATACACACACAGACACACACAGACACACAATGATATTTTATATATACGTATATATGCTTCTAGTTGATGTACATATGTCGCATATATATGCACATATACTTATATACATATGTCATCTAACTGCCTCCCCCTCTGCCCCTCGCCAGGCAACCCTTTGCCCAACCTCACACACAACCCACACAGCTCCTTTAGTTTTAATTAAGAAAGATGAAGAAGAGCAGCGACAACAACAGCAAAGAGGAATGCAAGGAGATCGTTTTTTTTTTATGGTCGATTTTTTTTTTAAGCTGAGCAAGCAAATAAATGTCAACAATTCGAAAGTACAATCCATAAAGCGAGTTTTTTGTTCTAGCAATATTTTGTATGACCTTTAGGTTCTATCAATATTTTCAATATTTTCTGGAATATAATGATGCACTTTTTTCCAACAAATTTTAACTGGAAATAATGTTATCACAGGTTTTTCGATTTGGGCTGTGCGTTGCCTGTCAGTCAGTCAATCAGTCAGTCTGTCAGTCAGTCAATCAGTCAGTCTGTCAGTCAGTCAATCAGTTAGACAGTCAATTAGTCAGTCAGTCAGTCAATTATTCAGTCAAGATGTTAGTCAATCAGTCAGTCAGTCAATCAGTTGGTCAGTCGGTCAATCAGTCAGTCAAACAGTTAGTCAGTCAAACAGTTAGTCAAACAGTTAATCAATCAATTAGTCTGTCAGTCAGTCAGTCAGTCAGTCAGCTAGTCAGTCAGCCAATCAGTCAGTCAGTCAATCATTCGCTATTTGTCACGCAATCAACTCTAATGTTCAAATTTCAGGCTCTATTTCGCGGATCCATGTGCTGTACAGCAATGTGTATGTACTGATTGATTGACTGATTGATGATCTACAAACAAGCGACCGCCACAGGAAAGCTGAGCTTTTTATGTGAGTGCGATTGAAGGCAGGCATATTCCACCCGCAAAAAAAACCTGGCCCGGTCTAAACTGTGTAGATATGATAAAACATCGCTTGATTGAGATTGATTGATTGAAAGACTGAAAGAAACCAGAATTGTGGATTTATATATTGAAAGTCGAAATGTTGAGCCTAACATAACACAAATGAAATGAAACGAACGGATGGTCGGGCAACGAAATGTGAGAGACTATAACAATTATTCCACAAGCATGAGCAGCTCGTCGCAGAGCTCGGCAAGGAAGCGTGCGTCGAGCACCTGCTGGGCCACCGACAGCTCCGGCAGCTCCGACAGCTCCGACAGCTCCGGCTGTTCCGACAGCTCCGGCAGCGCCGGCAGCTGCAGCTGTTTGTCCTTGCACGGCGGCGACTCGTGCGGCATGTCCAGCTGTGCGGCTGTCCACAGCTCCTCCAATGGATACGACTCGTAGACGTAAACGAATTCCGAGTCTTCCAGCAGCTGAACAGCTGTCGCCTGGCCCGCCGGCAGGATGTGCGATCTAGCCAATGCTGCCAGTCCGGCTCCGGCCATGAGTCCAACTTCGGCTGCGGCACCAGCTCTGGCTCCGGCTCCAGTTCCGGCTCCGGCTCCGGCTCTGGTGGCCAAAGGATAAATGCTTTTCGATTTGCCAGACGCTGGGCCCGGGCTCCTGTCCGTTGGCATCCGGTATGGCGGCAACGGCAATCGGCTAAACATGGGCCGCATTGTCACCTGCTGTCCGACCACGAGCAGCTCCAGCGGCGCCGCCTTCTGCCGTCTGGCTTTGTTCGGCTGCGTGCGGTGCGTTGACTGCGAGGCCGCAGCAGCTGCTGCTTGGTTGCGTTTAACGTGCACGTTAACGTTGACGTTGACGTTAATGGACGGCCGTTTGGCAATGTCATGGCACGGTTCGTTTGGCCGAGCAGTATTTTTTTTTGCTGCGACAGTGCTGCCAGATCGCCGCTGACGGCCAGTGCTGCCCATGCTGTTGCTCAATCTCTGCTCCATCTCTGTGCGCCGTCCAAATTGAATGTTATTTTATCTGCCGTTAAAATTGTTTGGTATTTCAATAAGTTTGCTATCTGCCTTTTTGAATTGTTCCAATACCAGAATTTTGCTGCTAATTGAAAGCAAACGCAATGCAACGCAAGCAATGCGATAGTTGGCCAGTTAACGTTAAGCTTTAAATTTGCCAAAAACAATCGAATAGCCTGGCAGCACTCGACAGTGTGTCAATTCTCCGTGTCGCGCTGCCAGTTGGCAAAATATCGCCAACTGTCAATTGTTAACCATGATCAAAGTGAATCAATTTGTGCAGCTCAATAAGAATATGAATGTCTCCACGGCTGCAGCTGCGCAGGAGTCCAACTGCAATAAGGCCGTGCTGTTGGGCATTGCGACGGGTCCAGGCAAGCGCGAAAAGCCAAATAGCCTAAAAATTTGCAACAATTCTAACCTCACTTTTCACGTCTCTTTTTTTTTTTTTTTTTTTTGTTGTTTTTATTGCCCCTCTTATAAGCAGGCAAAAAGAAGGATAAAAAGTGCCGCAATGCTGTGCCCGAATACGTGACCAACAGGAAGCCGCGCTATTTGCCAAATTTAAGCGAACTGGTCTTCAACAAGGGCTACATCGACGTGGACTCGTTTGTGCTGTGCACGCTGTCGCCGGAGGAGCATGGCCATGATGCCGCGGCCGCGACTCAATTGCAGGAGGTGCACTGCATCGTGTTCGAGTTGCCGCGTAATCTGTTTCCACGGCACTCGCCGCTCAATAAGATCACGTATTTGCCGCCGCAGCTGCTGCCGGGCGACTTCGATGCCGGCGGCGTCTTTCCGCCGGGTGTCCTCGCCCACAAATACTATCCGCAGGGACTGCTGCAGCCGCATCATTGCGGACCCACACCTGCGCTGTTTGTGGGACGTCGTCGCGTCGAGCGGCACAGTCTGCACAAGAGCCTGCCGTACACGTGCGCCGCCTACGTGGGCATGCCGCTGTCCCAGATCCCGGTGCCGGTGCCGGTGCCGGTGCCCAACTGTGGCCACAACAACAACAACAACAGCAACAACAACAACAGCAGCAGCAGCAACAACAGCAACAGCAACAGCAATGCCCAGTTGCATCCTGATCTCAGTGTCGGCTACATTATTGCGCATGCCGATTCGCTGGCCAAGGTGGATCGCTTTGCCCATCAGCAGACCCAATATCGGATATATGTGCCCGATCTGAGCACGGTTCCGATGATGGTGCACTTCAAGACGAAGCTCTGCATGACGGTGCTCTCGGATGTGGTGCATCCGCACGAGTCTGAGGTGGCGTTTGCCGTTATGCGCGAGAAGGCGACCAAATTTAAGCTGCCGCAGGAGTACTTCTCCATGGCCACCAGCTCGATTAAACGTGCTCCGGTATTCTTGCCGCAGCGCTTCCTGCCGCCCGGCTTCGAGGCGGGCTGTGTCTTTGGGCCCGGCACCTTGCCGGAGAGCCTGTTTGAGGGTCTGCTAAAGGATGCGCCGCCCCAGATGCAGCGCAACGTGGCCATTATGCCGCCAGTATTCATTGGCATGTGGAAGGAGCAGGTGACGCCGTCGGTGTTCATCTTTCCGCAGCAGAGTTTTATGGTGAACATGGCACCAGCTTCAGCTACACCAATCCAAGCGCCGCCAGCTCAGTTGTCTGTGCTCGACGAGATCAAGATGGCGCGCAGGGAGCTGAAGCCGTTGCCCAAGCTTTTTGAGCTCGAGCAGAAGCTCAATTTCCCTGAAAGTCAAATGCAAAAGCGGCAAAGGGATGGAAAACAGACAGACGAAGAGGAGGAAGAGGAGGATGACGAGGAGGAGGAGGATCTGGACGATGAACTTGAGGAGGAGGAACACGAGGAAGAGGATGAGGAGGAGGATGAGGAGGGCGAGGAGGAAGAGGAGGAAGAGGAGGAGGAGGAGGAGACTGAGGACGACGGGGAGGAGGAGTTTGAATTTGAGGAAGAATACTTAGAAGAGTCCTTGGAAGAACTAGAAGAGGAAGAACCGACACAGCACAATCAGCCATCCGACGACAACGAAGACGACCGTTCGACAACGCCATTCTACGAGGATTACGGAGAGGAAGATCGCGATACAACGCCATTCGACGGCTGCGCCGAGGAGATCGGCCCCAGGGCATTGGAAAAACCATTGGACGAGCCAATGAAAGGCCGCAGCAATATGGGTCTGTGGTTCTTCACACTGACCGGCCAGCCGGAGGACATTGTCGATATGCTCAAGAAACTGGAAAACGCCGGCGTCAAGCTGGCCTCCAACTATGTGAATCAGAATGTTATACGCCGTGCCCAGGTGCAATGGCTCGATCTGATGCTGCGCCGCGACGAGATACGCGCCCAAATGACATCGACGGGCATGCCGCGCGCCCGCAAACCGAATCCAAGTCCGATGCCAAGCCCAACGAATCCGAGCCAGGAACGCTTCGCGGAGCGCAAGAGGCGCGGCAAGAAGTGCGCCGAATGCGGTTTGCATTGTAATTAGATTCAAGAATCGCGCCTTGCTGCACACGATTATCGATACATATCGAATTTATACACACACACACACACACATACACATATCGCGCGATCGTGCCTTGCCAAAAATAAATATATATATATATATATGTACACATACATAGTTATTTATTTATATTGTTCCTATAGAGAAACTCAAAATATTTATATATTTATATAATAAATTAAAAAAAAAAAAAATAGTACAAAAAGAAAAAATGTTGCGAAAAAGTATTGGAGCTTTCTTTTTGCTTTTCTAGGTATACGTATACGTAATATTAGTGCGTGCAATTGCAATAATTTCGATGCCTCCTCAAACATCTATATATATATATATATATATGTATTAATCTCTTTAAATATTGAAATTTGGATATCTAATATTTACAATTAAATTGCGCCATTGAAATTTGAAAAAAACAACAACAAAAAAACTGCTAATTACTTTTAACATACTGCAAGAATCACAAAACAAAAATAAAACAAATCTTGTTTTTAACATTTAATTTTTGTTTGCTTTTGTTTTGTTTTTTTTTTATGTTGTCAATTTTTGATTAAAGCATAAATATACACATATAATTATAATATTATTTTTCTCAATTGCTTCGCCACAAGACGAATTGACAATTCAGACAAACCGCTAGCTTAATTCTAGTATTGAGATTCCAAACAGGAATTTATCCAAAAAAAAAAAAAAAACATATTACAAAAAAAAAAACCGCTTGAGCAGTGAGTGCCCCTAATTGTTAATTTATTTTCCGGCTTGTTTGTGACCTGCCCAAATCTCTCTAGCTCTAGCTGACTAACGCCATGGAATCAGACAATTTGAGTTGATTTTGTTGTTCTTTTTTTTTTTTTAGTATTAGTTATGTTTTTATACAGTTGTACATTAAACAATATTAGCTTGCAATGATTAAAAACTAATAACAAATTCACAAACATTTTTTGTTTTTTTTTTTTTTCACAATTGATTTGCTTGGCGTATTTTTGCCATATATTTTTATATTTTTTTGCTGTTTAATTGTTTTTATTATTATTATACTTTATTCTTTTTATTTTAGCGCTCGTTCATGTCTCTCGCCTCTTTCACTGCCCGCGTTCTTTACTAATTTTCTATGCAATTCTCACAATACGCTTTTCGTTTAACATTTTGTGTGGAATTTTTTTTAGCTTTTGCTTGATTACTGTAAATGTTGCATATGTTGCTTGGTAAATATTCATATATATTTATATATATTTATATATATATATATATATATATATATATATATGTGTGTGTGTGTGTTATATATATATATATTTAATTTCGTTAACTATATGAATTCATTTTTCGTTTTCGTTTTTTACATGCACAAACTCATGAGGCCAAGGGTTCTGATTGTGTGTGTGTATGTGTGTGCTTGTGTGTGTATGTGTGTGTGTGTGCTTGTATGTGTGTGTGTGCTTGTGTGTATGTGTACGGGTGTGTGTGTTTGTTAGTACAGCTTAAATAATTCTAGCCAAATATCAAGACTTATGTATATATATATATATCATATATAGATATAGATTGGGGGAGAGGAAGTAAGGGGGGAGGGGTAGAGTTTAGAGCAAAAGACGCGGCGAGGAGTTGTTTCAACAATATTTATAAGTCGTACAGGTTAAATATTTCAGAAAGTTCGTGTGTTTATAGAGTATATACGTATAATAATAATAGTTAGTTATTGTGTTTTTTGTGTTTTTGCTTTTTTAGATAGGGGCATACTACAATATATATATATAGATATATATATATATGTATATTAATATATATATATTTATGAATGCGACTTAATATCAGTTTCTCGCTCGACCTAATCTATACATATATATATATATATGTATATATATATATGCATATATAACTATATATAGTTATGTTTATGTTAAATATGACTCGTTATAACTACAATCAGCTGCACTTGCCGCTCATCACGCCATGCATATGTATGTATATATATATACACATATATGTTCATTATCATAGTCAATCATAGCTGGATGTGGCATGCAACTTGTAATTTGTTGTGTTTAGCGGCCAAAAGAGTTGGGTGTGTGTGTGTGTGTGTGTGTGTTGTTATAGGAGCTGGTAAGAGACCAGGTTTGCAGTTTTTGACTTGGCCCAATTGCAGAATTCGCATCGTTTCGTTTTGCAGTTGGTTTCGATTCGGTTTTGGGTTCGGGTTTTTATATTATATATATATAATTTTTGTTTTGTTTTGTATTGTTTTGTATCGGGCAAATGTGCTCAGATCTGGCCAACCAGCTCCTGTATGCTGCGCAATAGATCTTCCATGTTTCACAAGAGATCACGATGGAACACCCACGTGTGCTTTGTGTGTGCAAATTTATGTGACAGCCACTGTGACTCCAGCAAATTGAAGCGATCCTGACTCAGATAAAGCGGCTTGCCGCGTCTGCAATTTAATAAATTGTAAACAATTAGAGTAATGAGTATTTGCAAATGTTGAGCGCGTACGTACTTGAGATCCCGATCCTCCTCATCGAAATCATCCAGATATAGTGAGCCCCAGAGGCAGGCGCGTCGCCCCCTAATGACAATTATATAGGTCGAGGTGACAACCAGAAAGATGCCAATGCCACCGCCGCAGGACAATGTGTGCTGTGTAAAACAGAAAATGTTTAATTAATGCATTCAATTATACGCCTGGCAATTGACACTCACCCGCACTGCCTCACAGCATTCCTTTTCGGCACAGCAATTCTGCTTGAGGCACACAATTGTGCCGCACAGCAGACAAATCGAGCTCTCCTTGGGCACCTTGTAGCAGTTGAGGCATGGACGCTCATGATAGTACTGTTTACATAAATGAAAACAATTCAATTGTTACTCTAGCTTAATTGATATCAAAACTGTTTAAAAAATATGCATATATTTCTCTTAACAGCTGTCTGCTATGCTAACGCACTGTTATTAACATTATTAGCAACAACATGCCTCCAAAAAGGTAACAGAGTGAAGAGCTGTAAATAACATTTTAAGGCCTCTGCCAAAATCGTTCTGAGATATACAGAAAATCAAAAATTTGGGCTTTACATATGTTTAAAATATAAGCTTGTGATATTAAAGGCATTACAAAAAGTTCCAGCACAAAGCGGACAACTGTTTACATAACATTACCAAACAACAGCGCGATAACATAGGCAAACGATAGCCGTTCACATTTCTAGGCACAACATAGTGTTAATATAGCATTAAGGGAGCTGCACATTAACATGAAGGCTTTATATATGAGAGAGCGACATTATGAACTCACCGTAAAGAGACGCTCGTATTCGCGCGGCAGCTCCAGCAGACGCGGCTGCTGCCACAACGAGTGCTGATTCATGAGTATCAACTCGCGCACCGTATCCGACGGCGGATGAACGTCCATTAACTGTTTGCACCAAAATTGTGGCAACGTTTGCTCCGTGCCGGGTATAAAGCAGAGGCCCTTGGATGCATTAAAACAATCCCAGTCCATTGAATCTGTGACCAATTCCAAATAATAAACCAGACGCACAAATTCCAAACCGGGCGCTGATATTTCCGGCATCTCGTGCCTATACAAATGCTGACGCAGCAGCGCCGCAATTCGCAAAAATGGTAAACAAAGCGATTGTAGCTGCAGTTCCATCGACTTCAGATTAACCTCCGCCGTTGGGCGGTTGCTGCTGCCTCCAGCAGTTGTTGTTGCTGTTGCCTCCTTTCCTGTTGCTGCTTCTGCTGCTGTTCCTGCTGCTGCGGCTGCTGCTGCGGCTGTTGTTGATGTTGTTGTTGTGCTGCTGCTGCTGTTGCTGCTATTGCTGGCACTGGCGCTGGTGCTGGGTATGCTGTCACGTCGCAGATGCGACAGGCGATTCGTTTGATTCAAAACCAAAGCCATGGCCTTGCCCAGCTCCGCGCAGCTCTTCAGCGGCCCAAACCGTGCGGCGCTGCTCCGGCGATTGCCACTGCCACTGCTGCTGCTGCTGCTGCTGCCGCTGCTGCTGCTGCTGCTGCTGGTCGCTGTTGCATTTGCAGTTGCTTGTGTCGAGGAGGAGGCGGAGGCGGAGGAGGAACTTGTGGCGGCTGCTTCGGACTTGCTGCTGCTGCTGCTGCTGTAGTTGGCCAAAATGTGATCGCACTCGAAATCGGTGAGCGTTACGCACAATTGCACAACAATCTGATAGTAGAGCAGATTGTACATGACCTTTACCATGCAGGTGAAATAATCTGTAACGAACACGTAGATGATCTTATTAACATCAATTGAAATTTATTTTTATTTTCTTGTTTGAACTTACCCTGATCGAGATGCAGCGGCGCGAGCAATATAAATTTGAGCAGCAACGCAATGGGATCCGCCAGCAGACTAGGTATTACCTCCCGGCAATGTGTGGGCAATGGCTCCGTATCGCGCACCGGCATCCCGGCCAGCGACGCCCAACTGCTCCACAGTGGCCACTCGACGAGGACACGTACGTGCACGGACAGCACATGCAGCAGGGGAACAATGCAGTCCCGCTTCGGCTTGTAGCGTGTGGCATTCGATGAGCACAGTGAGCCGCCACGCTGTATGATCTCTGCCTCCAGATTCGTCCGGGCTATTGAAGTCACAAATATGAACAGCTTCCGGAACGTTATTTTTGTCGATTTGACCTTCCGCTGCGCTATGTTGGTCATCACCTCCATGGCGTGACCCATGGCCTCTGTGAGTTTCGTGGGTTGCTACAAAACATACAATTATCAATTAGCTAGTATTCAATATTAAAGTGAAGTAAACTCTGTCATCGTTTGCTACAAGACAACTTGCATATTTACGACACATTCATACACACATTCATACATTCATATGTGCACACATGCACACACAAACGCGCAAAGGCACACACGCACATATATACATGCATACACATACATACATACATACATACATACATACATACATACATACATACATACATACATATATACATACATACATA